CCCAGCCCCGCCGCTTTCCCGCCCTTTTTATACAGCCCCGCGCCTCAGGGGGGCTGCACCGCCCCAGCCCCGCCCGCTCGCCCCGCAAGTTTGGAGTCACAGCTCTCAGTGTGGCAGCGTCTCGGTCCGCCTTTAGCTTTAACTTTAAGGCTTCAGTGCTGCAACCGGCGCCATGCAAGCAACCCCTTGATTAAAGGGTCCAGATCAGTGGGGGCTGACCGAGCCCCTCAGCCCCGGCCCGCCCGGTACCACACGTCCCCTGTGTGCGCCGTCCTGGGGCCACGGGGGTTGGTTGTGACAGATACACCGCTCTGGTGTAAGGACAGAGGCAGGACCGGGGCTTTGGGTAGATCCGATCTCTCTTCTTAGATCACCTGAGGAGTTGGAAGAAAGTCCTTTGCAAACAACTTTCTTCCAGCTCTTCAGCTGGTCTAAGGAAAGATAAATCTAATAAAAGATCATCATAAAAGATAAAGCCACTCAGTCGTCTAATAAACGATCTCACATGAATACTGTATCCAGCTACCAACTGAGTGGCTGGGAAAACTTTTTTCTGGGTGCTCAGTTGGTTTAATAAAAGATGTCACATCCACCCAAAGAGCTTTGCCTGCCAAAATGCCCCATCATTTTTCAGGCAGCTCGTTGATGCCGCTTCTGCAAAGCTCAAGTCACTCTCCGGGCATCTTAACTGACTTCTGGGTTTGCTGCCAGCGCTTTCCCATGCCTGCTGGCCTCAAAATAGAGCAAGGTTTCAGCTTTGATGGCCCGGTTCTCACTCACTCACTGGCAAGTTATGCTGAGCAATATAAAATGAAGAAGAAGAAGACTTAGTTGCATATTTTTCAGTGTAGGATCAGGGCTGGATTAAGGCACAGGCAAACAAGGCACATGCTTAACTAGGGCCTTAAGTGAAGAAGGGGGCCAGTTGTGCTTATTGTACACATTATAATTACTGAGTGAAAAAAGTAATATAAATATACAATATTAAGTAGGGGCCCATGAGTTTGTTTTCCTAGGGCCCACTAAAGGGTTAATCTGGCCCTGTGTACCATAGTTTTTCAGCAAATACAGTCATTTTGAGTTTCCAATACAATAATTTAAAATTTAAGACCAGGCAATGCTGCTCAGCTCATTCAGCAGCTCTGCCCCCACAGTTGCCAGCCACTGCCACGAGGGAGCCCAGCTGGAGACAGCCTCCTTCCCTGCGCACATCCTTTATGCTGGCTACTTTCGGGAGGAGTTGCCCTGTCCCCCACCATACATACACCCTGCCCCCCAGTCTCAGCTTGTCACCCCTAGGCTGTCATTGCCTCCCACACAATCCCTCCACCGGGGGATGATGTTCCCCCTGTTCAGGATGCCGGCCCTTGTCCAGCCTGTTTTGAGATGCCCAGTGCTCCTCAAACAAGATACAGGGGAGTGCAGGTGCCTGGCTCCAGCTCTGGATTACACCTGGGGGAGTGATGGGGGAAGGACACTTGAAAGTTTGTAGTTACAGCTCTCAGTGTGCCAGCATCTTGGTCCACTTTTAGCTCTAACTTGAAGGCTTCAGTGTTGCAACCACTGTCATGCAAGCAGCCCCTTGATTAAAGAGTCTCGATCACTGGTGGCCAACCATTTTTTGGCAGGCAGGCATGGCACAAGTTGAGTCCCCCCTCTCTTGAGTGTCAGGCAGATCCCTATGCCTCCAGAGGAATATTGGATAGACATTGCGCCCTGGGATGCCAAAATGGAGGCAGAGAGGGCACGAGTCACCAGGCACTCCGAGTAGAGCAGGGGCAGGATGCTGTTGCGAGTGTGGTGTCACCACCAAAAGCCAAGCTAACCTTTCCCTGGTTCCAGTTGCCACTGTTTTATATGGTGAGCAAGGATCTGAAGTCCTGAATTAGGTGGCAGCTTGACAGGCAGGGAAGAGTTAACCTGGCTCTTAGTGGTGACAACTGATGCCTCTTGTAGCAAGGGAAGTTTAGGTTAGATATTAGGGGAAACTCTCATGAGGAGCACAGCAAAGCACTGGAACAGGCTACCCAGAGAGGTTGTAGAGTCTCCAGCCTTGGAGGTTTTAAAGACCCAGCTAGATAAAACCTTGGCTGGAATGATACCGGTAGGGGTGGTCCTGCTTTGAGTAGGGGGTTGGACTACGTGACCTCTTGAGGTCCTTTCAATCCTAATTTTCTATAATTCTCTCCCAGCAGTCTTAACCCCCTCGTCCCTTCTGATCCACTTGTCCCAGAGGCTAGAGTCCTCCACCTCCGTTCTGGCACCACCCATTACTGCGTGCTCCAGGCTCTCGTGCTATACACAGCAGCTGCCCAGGCCATTTGTGGCAGGTGTGCTGCAGGTTGGCCATCCCCTGGTCTTGATACATCCAATACAAATGCTGAGGGAGTGAGGGAAGAGATTTCAAGAAGCCTTCCCAATTTCACTAGGGTCCTGCACCAATCTTGGGTGATCGTGAATGCAGAAGGGATGCATTTGGCACCCCAAATGGACATGTGCTTTGCTAGGAAATTTTTGTTGAGTTAGCTAGAGTTCTGCTTTGACACATACTAAAGCCTGCCTCTGCACCTCAATCCTTAGTAGTGCTCTGTGTTGGCTAGCCATATTAGTAACCATTGAAGACTATGCCAGCAGCCAGTGAGCGAATGTTCTAACAGTAGTAAAGGCAATTTGTAAATATAAGGATGACATCAGGCTAAGCTGAAAATTATTTGGCATTGATAAATGCATAATTATACTGGATGGTGTTAAAACAGCATCATTTATTACCCTGCATGATGATAAGTCACATTCTTATAAAATGTGCATCATGAACAAAGCCCACTGAATAGATGTGTTGACTTGAATAGTGGGTTGTAATGAAAACATCACTATATAAATAACATACTTTTAAAACTACATTTCATCAGCAACAATAAATGGCAGTCTTTCAAAATCTGCCATGAATTCAGACCGGAGGCTAAATGGCGTTAGCTGTTCATCACACCAAAGAAAGCTGTTGAGAAATGTATGCAGAAAGAAAGAAATACCTTAAATATTTGTTTTGTTAGTTAACAGATGAAAGTAACAGTATACTTTGTACTAAATTATTGCATTAGAACTGGGTGAAGCAATAGGCATTAGTAGAAAAGTAAAATTACGTTTCAGCGTGAGAAGTATAGGGTATTATGTGACTGGTATATTGCTCTGGTTTGAGTAATGTTTTTTGGAAGTTGCTTACAGACTCCAAATTTAAATTGTTGCTCACAAAGCATGCAGACTTGTTTGCTATTCTAATGCTTGATTGTTTTCTGCAATAAACACCACCACCACTGATACTGCTACTGGACAAGAGGACTCAATAACTGAACACTGTTTTCAACTGGACACTTTTTATCCATATACTTCTGTTTAGCTGTACTTATTTAATCTTTATGGGTAAATAGCCAATCAGGGTGCATAGTACAAAAAGCAGCACCATAACTATATTTTTAAGGAAAAAAACGCAGTTTGCAAATACAATAAAATCAGGATTCTGTCTCCTTCCCCCTGTCCCCCCTTTCATTTGCTTGGTAATTTGGGTCTTGTAGTGTCCAGCTGCCCAAAGCACTGTAATTTATTTTCCTTTTCATAATTTTTAAGTTTGTCATTTATGTGTGTTCATAAAATGCATTTTTTTTGCTGTATGTTCCACTATTATGCATTTGTTCCATTATGACCATTAAAGAGGTGTCCATTTTCCCTGTAGAGTTTTATTTATGCAACATAGAAAGCACACAACTAAGGTGTGTTTGCTCTTATAATTTCTTTGCACACATTTCCAAGAAGAAAAACGTTAAAACAGTTTCAATTGCTCCATCCACACAAGCCAATAAAAAATGTTCATCATATTCCTTCTCTAACATTCATTACCTGCCAGCATCATGTTTACTGTTTTCAGTGAATGACTCCATCCTGTATGTCTAAAAAATGTATAGTAATGCAAAAAATACAATAACATAATAACAAAGAAACTAACCTCTGACCTCAGCAATGTCAACATGCTTGCTAAATAGCTATGCATTAGGGAATTGGGTGAATTATCCTTCCCGTAGGAAAGCATGAGGTCAGAGACAGTATGAAGACGGCAGCAAAAGACAAAAAGTGCTTTAATACAGCTGTGATAAAATAAAAACACAGTAATTAATTAAATATGGTAGGGACATAAGAACAAAAAAAGTTATAAAAAAGATGATGCCACTGGGCAACAGGCAGTAGTATGATTCACAGTTAGAGAAAGCCTAGCTAATTTCTATTTAAGCCTCGCTCTCACTGTCTTGCATCCTGGCAAAAGTCAGTTTGGTCAGCAAAAGTCATGAAAACAGAGAAATTCACATTACAAAGACAGTGTAAGAATACACTGTTGGATTTACATCTTATTGTCTTGCCAAGAGTTTTAGCTCACAGTCAGTTTGCAAGTAAAAATTCAGTTTGCCATCTCTGAAAACTGGTATCTGAACATCTGGCCACACTGAATAAATCATGGGGCTCATTCGTCACCAGTAGCAGTAAAGATGCTGGTAAAGAGGGAACAGACTTACATGGCCATCAGAAGTGAAAGCTGTTAAACTCTTCTTTCAGTCAGTGAAGTCTAATTCTGAATAGACACCAGAAAATATCATTAATAAATTCCAATTTAATCTAACAGATTTTTTGACCATAACTACAATTTAAACGTGCAAACTTGCTTTAACAGTTACTCCTTCACTTACTGTGCAGAGATCTTGATTCCCAAGTTCTTTTGATCAAAGTACACATTTCTCTGCCTATAGAATGTCACTTATAAAAGGGA